TAATCTGGTGTTTAGACTGTGTTCTTCGAGGGATAGGATGAGTATTATTCATCTTTGTTTTCCTTGCACTTAGGTGACTTAAACAAAGGTATTTAAAAGTCTGTTAAACGAACATTCTTCCACATTTTATGGTTTTGATCATAGCTATAGGCTTCCTTACCTTGAAAAGGATTTGTATATAACCTCTCCACTGGCGTCTTCTCCATCTGTTAATTGCAAATGACTCGCAAAGACTGAACACAGAAAAACCTGTAAGAAAGTAATTTAAAGTCATGTGGACTAAAAATAATGAAAAATATCTAATGTGAAAATTTATAACCATCATAGCGCACTGTATTTTGTTATGAAGGACAGAGACTTGGATCACAGAATTGATATTTCATCACTATGCAATGCCCTACATTATATTACCCCTTATTTATCCCTTAAGTCCAACAGCAACCTCAAGCCTAATATAGAATAGTGGTAGAAGGGAAAATAGATGACAGAAAAAGAAAAGGAGGTTTATCATGGGAACAGTATAATGCTTTGGCCTCATGACATAGACCAGATGGCAATAACCCTTTTCTCAGCAAGTAGCTCCTCAAAGGTTGTAAAAACCAAATATATATATATGTGTATATATATATGTGTATATATATATATATGTGTGTATATATATATTCTCAGCAAGTAGCTCCCACAGGTTGTAAAAACCAAATTCACTATCAACTTCTCCTGCTAATAATTATTTTTTAATACTGTGGCAGCATCAAAACAAAGACACATACGATCCCTCAATATGTGATAAAAAACCTAAATATTTACTGTCAAAAAGAAAATCCTTTTCTGAGAAATGATATTATCCAACAGAAAACCCTGACTTCTTAAAATCCAGGTATGTTCTCATCTCTTATTTTAAACGAAGTAGACGGCCTTTGTTTTAACCAATTTTGTAGCTGTTTTCTAAAAGCCTTTGAAAACGCCCAAGAAACTACTAACATTCGTTATACTAAAGTTATTCACAGTTGCTAATTCTATAGAAACATGAACCTATCCTTTAATATTGTTTTAAAAATCGTGTACACAAGAATTCAATGGTCTTCTCCACCTTCCGTGGCTCCAAAGAAACCTTTCTGATGTACAAGACAAACTGAGGCAAATATTTTCTAAAAGGCGACTGACTGACTGATTCCAGTAAAAAGTATAACAGATGAGTTTCTCTTCGATAATTTGAGACACTTCTAACTACACTTCAGTTGCTCTAAAAGAAGAAAAAAAGTCCTAAACCTGCAAGTTGACCTTTACAAAATTTTCCCAATGGAACCATTCTTTCCTTCCAGCTGAGAGAAGAAAAAGGTCCTACAAATGTTAAAGCTCTTTATCATTTTACATGTAGGCTAGTGTGCAAAGTGGCCTCAGGCCAATCGCATTTCCACCTGACTGAAAAGTGACATAACACACGGCTGCTCATAGTTGCTAAATGCTTTTCATGAGTGCGGGACTAAGAATGAGAAAGAAGACAGACGCTCTGTAAATCGTTACGCGAGGGTTGTAAAACGTGTAAGACCGAATAAAAATAAGGCAGGTCCCAGGGCCCTGACAGGCGAGCTCCAGCGCGCGGAAGCCGGGCGGAACGCGGGGAGGCGGAAAGCGGAGAGAGGACCTGGCGAACCTTCCACTGACCGTCGGCGCCTGAGCTCCGGCGCGACGCCGACCCTCGCCCCGCGCATGCGCAGCTTCGGTACTGAGCGTCGCGGGCGCGCGCCTGCCCTCGCTTATCTGGGAGCGCGGCAGGCGGGGCGGGGCCACGTGACCGGGAGCGCGGCTTTTCGGGCTCGATCCGAGGCGCTTCGGAAAGCGCCTTTGCAGAGCAATTCCAGGAACCCCAGTTCGGCTGCAGGTCCGACCTCTTTCTAATCGCTTTGCTTCTCGACTCCGCTCTTGAATTTAAGAATCTGGTTTGGCAGAACTTTTTTGCCATACGTCCTCCCAGTCACGAGGGGACTTCCGGCCAAAATGGCGGCCTGAGCCAACAGCCTCTGAGGGGCTGGACAATTTGGCCAAGGTCACCTAGATAATTTTTTTTTAAATTAGGGGCCCATACGAAAGTGATTGGCGCTTTTCATGGCTGCAGTGTCATTTCTCCAGTCTGAAGCCCTGTTGCTCTCCCCCCAGGACGTTCAAATCCTGTTCCTACTGCTCGAGGCTCCAGAATTATTGGAGCGCGCCCGGCCCTAAAAATAGTACCCTAGGTAAAGAAAAACCGCTTTATATCTCAGGGGTTGAGGGCTTGGGGCAATTAGGTAAATGTTTAAAGAGGCAAATGTCTCATAGGATGTGACACATAATTTACCTCAACATACCCCAGAAGAGCATTTCATTTCAGTTTAAGCATTTAAATAAAATCTCCAGATCTGTTTGTTTAAGCTTTGTATCAAGAACCTGAAGTAGTGACACTAGGATAAGATTACCTGCACGATGTTGCTGGTTCGCCCCAGAGGGGTGTGATGGGAAGAAAAGGCCCCGGAAAAACTCAGCCTTAAGGCTGGCATCCTTAAAGTGACAAGGGAATGGGGAAAAAGCAAAATGCATGAGGCTTAATTCTAGAGTTCCGATGCTTCGCGTACTGACGGCAACGGCGCGGGAACCTTGGCAGTGGGGAATCAAACAATACTGCCAAAAGATAAAATGCCAAACACGTCCAGAAAAAAAAAAGGAGGGAGGGAAGGAGGGAGAGAAAGAAAGAAAGAAAGAGAAGGAAAGAAGGAAGGAAAGGAAGGAAGAGAAAAGAAAAATTAATTTCCCTCCACATATCCTAATATAGATACCTAATATTGGGTAAAAACAAACAAAAAACTGTCACCTAAATCCTAGTCAGAAATTCTATTGACTTATTCCCTACAGTTATAAATCCTCAACGCGGCAGAAGTGAGTTTGTTCTTAACTCAGTCTTCTTAGGAAACGGAGGGGGGGGGAGGGTGTGTGTGTGTGTGTGTGTGTGCGTGTGTGTGTGTGTGCTTTGAGTTCAATAAATGTTATATCTGCAACCACTGGCGCGTGCGTGTGTGTGTGTGTGTGTGCGCGCGCGCGCGTGTGTGTGCGCGTGTGTGTGCGCGCGCGCGCGCGCAGCTAATAGCCCTGGACTTGCACTGGCTTCTCTGCCAGAGTTGCGCTGGGATGGTAATTGCCGCTTCTCTCGCAGACTCTCGTTTCCCCTGGTGCTGCTGTCATTGGTTCTTAAGTTTAGTTGCTTCAACTGCAGTTCCTCCCATTACAGTTAACAGATTTCTTCTACCGATCCCAGCTGTCTATATAAATGACGTTAAGCGCCAATGAACACACCGTTGCAGTGTCCTGGGTGCCAAGAGGACCCTGGGAGAAAATGCTTCCAGGTGGAGAAACCCAGTAGCCTCTGTGAGCTAATTCTGGGGCTGTGGAGTGAGTCTACCCAACAAAAGTCACCATTAAAGTGGAGGGCACAGATCGTGGCCTTCATCGGCAAGATGGTGCAGTCTGAGTTCTTAATAGGAGAATCAGAGAAATAGAGGTGTATTTACAGTGCCAAAGTAACTTTTTGAAAAACTAGAGTACTGTTTTCGCCAGCGTTGTGTACCTATTTAGTGGCCTTTGTCAGTATTGACCAGTAACGTGGATGCGTCCATTTCATAAGTAACCAGGGGCAAATGATGCCTTAAAATTTAAATTATTTGTCAATAGTCATAATATTGAAAAAGTCATGCTTCCAATTCTTTCTTAATCAGAATTGCTTTTGCATGGTAGCTCTGCTTCAGGGTCTTACCACCCCCCAAAGTGGCTAGATTTGTATGAAATAATAGTATTTCACCAGTATGCCAAGTCTTTTTAAAGATTCTCCTGAAGATCAATTCATTTTATAATTTCCATTTTGTGGTATAACCTGTTCTCCTTCAAGTTACAGCTATCCAATAGACTAGTAACACAAGTAGCTGCCTGGGGCCAAATTACCCAAGCCAAGATCTCAAATCTTAGGCTGATTAGTACATGAAAAAGGAATGCAGTAGTAGAATGCTATTATTAAGCAACAGCTGCAGAATATCATTGCATACAGTTCTAGGAACAACAGAGGGGAAATTTTCAGCAACTGGGATAAATGTCATCTGTTCCAAAGCCTCTCTTTAAAATATAGAACAAGGAATAACCATGCTTAAAGTGTTTTTGAATTAGTCTCTCATAGAATTACTTCATTAACACCTCCACCAAAACCTTTTAGTGCATTTCTACCGTCTTGAACCAAGAGGGGAAAGGCTTTGAATTTTTTAAAGATGTAAAACAAAAAATATCCTACTAATTTCAATAAACAATTCCTACAGTTGAAATATACTTCAATATTTTCCATCTCAGAACAGAATTCCCTAATTAAAATACTTTTCAATATTAAACTGTAAAGCGACCACAAAAATATTACTTAACATACTTGTGCCTTGACTTGTTAAAATACATTCCAGAGTTGTCTATAAATGAAACATTTTAAAAACCATTTATCACAAGAAAACCAAAAGAGAGCACAAAAAAATATTTTTTGATTCAGGTTTGATTTACTCAAGGTAAACATGCAAGAATTATGTATGTTTGTATTTACGTTATCTAAGAATTCTGAAGATAAACACACGGTATAAAAACCCTGGATTAATTTTAGAAAATTATTGATGTACAATAGGTTTATAATCACTTTAGTTGACTATAGATGTTACTTCAACTATAGGTAATGATTACTTCAAATCTAAATACAAAAAGTGTTGGCTCGATTTGGAACTCCAAAAGGAAAATTAAAGAAATCCAGAATTTTTCTGCTTAGAAAGTTAAATAGGCAGATGAGTTAAACTTTTTAAGATTGTAATGTCTCATATCACATCCAAGTGTTTAAATGAGTTAACGTTCAAGCTGTTTGTTTTTAAAAAGGCTTTCACAAAAAAATAAAAAGACCTTCGGAGCCCCTAATGGTGGTGTTCAGAAAAGTGAATGTCATACACTGAAACTAATCATTAACAACAAATCTTCAATTTATTTGAAGCAATTCGGTTTCAAAAACTTTAAGTTACAGCAGTCACAGAAAAAAACAGGGAACAGTCAGAAACAATAAAAGAATAATCAGGAGTACTGCATTTTTTTGTTTGTTTGTTTTTAACACTGTCATGGCTTTATTCAAAACACAGTTGCACAAAAGTATTAACTTCAAAGTTTTTTAAGGAGAGTTTTGAGGATTTTAACACACTATATACATACTGCCATACAAAGAGCATTAAAATAGGACCAAAAACTTCTACAAAATATAAAACCCACCCTTACTTATTTGCATGAAAATACCACCCACAAAGCTAAATAAGTCTTAAAAAGTTATTTGGAGGCTCTACGTGTGTTTTCAAACCAAAGAACTCTAATTTTGATTGCACAATAAGATGATTGATAAGAAAGTCAATATATAGATTTAATTTTAAAAATAAGTATTTTATAATCTGGCATACAATGTGACAAAAATTCTTCAGGACCAAAACAGGGCATTTCAATTTTCGAAAAGGAATAAAGTATTAGCCTTTTGGAGATTGCAATCCTACCCCAACCCACCCCACCCCCACTAAACTTATCCCAAGAGTTTTATGTCGGTTGTGCAACTTTTTTAGTTTATCCACAAATAACTTTCTAATTTTCACTTTAAAACCCCAAGTCACACATTTTTAAACTAAAAAATTACTATACTCAGTAATTTAAATGTGTTCAAAGTGTAGAAGTGTAACTTCAATTAATTTGCTGACACTAATTTAAGAAACACATATTCAAAACAAAGTGGGGAAAAAATTTAGAGCCAAGATTAAAAAAGCAATTGCCTAGAACATGGAGCCTCTACAACAAAAATGGAGATGTACTTGTCTACTCATATTATATTTAGTAGCCATATAAGGAAACACACACTCATACTTATCCCAAATATTTTTCTATTTTTAATAGACATCCACTTGAAAACAAGTCTTAATTTTAATATGGATTTAGTTTCAAATATTTCTCCAACTGCCTGATATAGTCCAATCGAATGCTATATCTGGTAATGCTATAAAACTAGGAGGAATAATTAAAGGTTCTATTCAGAAAAACTAGAAATACTTTGCAGAGTGGTATCTAAATCATTTGGGAAGCTAATTTAAAATTTTGACTTTAATGTCTCATTAATTATCAACAAGCAATTGCTCTGACTTTTAAGGAACACTATTGCTGCTTCCAAAAACTTTAAGTTACAGCAGTCACAGAAAAAGACACTCTGCTTCTTTTCTATCTTCATCCTACTAATACAGTCTATACATCTTGTCAACCAAGGAAGATTTACAATAAGCAGAGTCTGTTACATAAAACTGTATTGATAATATTCATATCTCAGAAAATCCTCAGTTTCTTTGACTTAGCTTCTTTAAAACTGAGATAAGTCTAAAAAAGGTGATTGAGGTATAAGACTAAAGGTTTTCCTGGGTATCCATAAGTTTCCCAACTTTTTTTTGAGATAGAGGGAGGAGAGTGAAACAAGAAAGGAAAGTGATCATAAAAGGATTGCTGAGAAGAAAATGAAAAATGCATATTTAAAACAAAAAACAAACAACCGTCAGCATGTCATGATCTTCAGCTTGAAGAACAAAGGGCTCACCTGCAAGTCTCTAAACTTACTATAAGCATTTTTTCCTTCAAAAATAAAACCTTATTAATCACCCAGCTTAAAAGTTTCAGAAACCTAAGGACTAGAACCTTTACTATTCTGCTCCTACTTTCCAAGCTACTCGTGCGACAAGCACTCAAAAATCCTTAGCCAAAAAAAAAAAAAGCCACTGCCTTCAAACTAAAGATCTTTGGGTCACTGCTAAAAAAATGACAAACTTATCATTCAAGAGACTATTTTCATTTCATATTCCAGCTGACTGTTATTTCGGTTAATTCATAAATAACTTTAAAACCTTATGAATAAAATGCACCATACTACACCTGTGTAAAAGCGATTATGTTTTAATTATGGGCTAAAATGACTAATACAGTGAGCTTGTATTAGAAAAATTAAGATTCTAAATAAACTGCTATGGAGTTTCACAATGGGGGGGTCAATGAAAAATTTTCTCTACATACAATATGATCATTAACAGACTAGTAAATCTTATTTGGAATGATAAGGCAAAAATAGTAAAACCACACTTTTCCTATAAAAAGTTACACATTATCTTCTGTAGGGATAGCTATTGTACATGAAGAAACAAAGAAGATGTGACCACTCTATTGCACACCCAGGAAATAGGGATTCTGGTCTCAGAATGATCTAGTCATCTTCTTCCTCTCCATCATCTTCAGCATCTCGTTTCCTTTTCTCCCCTCGAAGACCTTCTTCTTCTGAAAGAGTAAAAGGAAAAGTATAAAATACTTAATTTTAATGAATAAACATTTGTTAATTTACAAAGTTTTGACTCTATCTTAGTAAAAAGTTAATGACAAAAAATATCTTTCCTCTCTGAAATTCTTTCAACTTCAGTGTATTGAACAGACTTAGAAATCCATAAATAATGACAGCTTGCTATGCACCCTTGTGGCCAAATCACAAAGTACAGATCCAGAAACTAAGGGCTTGACATTAACAGAATTATTAGTAAATTTTAAAATTTATATTGGAAGACCTAGATAAAGAGTACCAGAGAACAAATCTAAACAGTGCAATCATTATCCGGAGTGCAACTGTTCTCTGATAGAGAAGGCTTAACTCTCTCTAAAATGGAAGACCCTGAAAAAATAATAAGTTGAGCTCAAAGATCCATTACCTCTTCTTTCCTATTTTGAAAATAAATGTTATAAGCTGTTTTTTTTTAATGGACTTAATGAATACCCTGGGAAAATTGCCCTTCGTTTTCATAGCGAATATAACTCACCTTCTTCTTCTTCTTCTTCCCCTTCTTCGACGTAGTCATCATCATCTTCTTCATCCTTGAAATTCAAATATTTAGTTTGAGAATAAATAAGCCATGATACAGATTTTTCACTGTTTAATAATAATACAGCCCAACAAGAACAAAAAAAACTATGCTTTTCCCATGTTTTAATAACCTAACTTATATATGTCCTTTTCAAAAAAGCCAACTAAATCTAGTTTCTTTATGAAAATAAGTTTATTGCTCCTTAAAAATACTTTAATTGGCAAATATAAAGAACTGCTAAGTAGTTAGGAAGAATTTGGACAACCCACCCTTTCCACAGTATCCACAGCCCCATTTGTGTCTAGTAATACTTAAAAGAACCTAATTTTCCAGCATTTAGCTAACAGCAAACACTGTAAAGCATTCCATGCCAGAACACCACGAAGCTCCTGGGAACAGGAGGAATAGGTGGGGTAGCAAACAGTACACAAAGAAACCACAATAAAAATTAGGAGAACCCGCAGCCTTAAACTAAAGAAAAGAAAGGAAGAGAAGAGGGGAGAAGAGAGAGCAGTGAAGGAGAGGGGAGAGGAGGGGAAGAGAAAGTAAAGGAGGAAAGGAGAAAGAAAAAGAGAGAAAAAATCATTTTAAATATCTTAAATCTGCAAGGAAAGATAAAAAAGGAAATTTAAATATATATAATATTTTTAAAAAGACTTGAGATACTAATCACATTTATTCATTCCTTGATAATTTAGAAAATCCCAAGTCTAAAAAGTGAATTACTTCTCTGGATTTTGTTTGAAACAAAATAGATTAGTTAGTTCATGTTTTTAAGTCTTTTTTTTTTTTTTAAATATCATCTGTTAGACCGCCAGAGAGTTGCTCTTAAAGACTCCCATCTTTTCCTAATTAAAAAATGTTTCTTCATTTGTACTGAAGAGCACCATAATTCCCAACTCTTCTAAAGTTTCCTTCCCTATTTTTCATGAACTGTACTATACCTACACAAAGTCCTTTGTACATATTAATTCCTTACTTCTGAAGAGCAGTTGAAGTAGAAATAAGACTCAAACAAAGAATAGCTAACCGAATACCATTTCTATTTCCTTCTAATTTCTTTTTAAATCTCAACAGTTTCTGAAGCTTCTGCTGGCTCTTAGTTTCTAAAAACAAGATTTCATTTTATACATCCAAATTATTTCGTAATGCCTGAAATAGTACCCTGCTACCTGGGTACTACACTGACTTAATGTTGTATGTATTATCTCAGGGATTTTTGCTCCATACGTGACCATGTCATTTTTAGTTAATATTTTCTAATGTTCAATGGAATGATAAACATAAACATTTGCAGTTAGCTGAAGGTCATTTTTCAATTACTTAGTACTATTTAGACTTAAGAGGAATTATTAGCATAGAAAGTAAAAAGCCAAAGGCAAAATAAATAAATCCCTTATTTTACCAAATAAATTAAAATTTAGGGGAAAAATATTCAAGTTGTATGTTGATGTAAATGGAACAGGTTACCCTTCTCTACGAGTACTTAAAATACTTAAAGTTCTATTCTGCATCACTGTATAGCTCCTAACTCACTACAGCCCCAAACAAGTTTGAGTCGTATTTTTTTCCACACAAGCTTTATATTTAAAATGATATCAGAGAAAAATGATCATTAATCAGTGATATCACCTATATACCCAATGTAAAAGTTATTAGGGAAACAGATGAGAATACTAACAATTTTGAGTCTAAATAAGAGATGTCATTTTTAATAATAAAAAAATTATTTTAAATTATGAATTTTGAAAACAAGACAACAATTTAACATTAGGAGAAAATAACTTATCTAAAGATAACTCCCGGGAGCTAAAGATCATTTGCTCAAGTCATGTGACATTTCCCATGAGCCCACTGTGTCCCAGTCAATGTGCCAGACGCTGAGCTACAAAGGCGACTGGCCTGCCCCTTAAGGAGCTCACCATCTGGCCCAATAAATACGTATTTATAAAAGTGCCTACAGGTAACAGAAGCCTAATCTAAGGTAACAGATAAAGGAGTGACTGTATGAAAATTATAGAGAGCTTCAACAATGAGGCAACTCCAGAGTTGACTTTTTAAATATAAAAGTTCACGAGGCGTGATTTGGGTGGCGATCATACAAGGATACCCATATGTAAAACTTCATGGACGTGTACATAAAATCTGTGCACTTTACATGTTTTATATATTTATGTTTACCTCAGAAAAAAGAAAGTTCATCAGAGGGCATGAGTACAAATTCATTTCAGATAAACAATGTATTACATATTGTTTATATTAATAGAAAACTCATATACAGACAGAAAGGCAAAAAAATAGCTTCGTGTGATGATTTAACTTGGCGTAGAGGGAGATAAAGCCAGAGAATAAAGGACCTTGCATGTCTCAGTGGCAACAGGAAAGCATTAAACGGTCCCAAGGTGGTGAGTGATATGATCACATTCGCAGTCAGACTGCGCAGACAGCACCACAAAGGATACACCTGAGTGGTGACACTGCATTCAGGGAGGGCGCTGAGAAAGCCACTACAGACGCAAAGCAAGAACTCTTTAGGGGTAAGACTTTCCTGAGTGCCTACAATGTGCCAGCAACTAGATAGGACTTTGTTAAACACTTAAAACGATATTATGAAGTTGGTACAATCTCAGTGTTATATGTGCAGAAAAGCTCAGGAACATTTGTAAAATGTTTCTACCAGACCATGTCCCTGACAGCAGAGTGGATCTGAGAGACATCTGGGAGGTAAAATCAGTAGGTGTCTGTAACTATTGGATACAGTGTGAATTGGGGGAGGGGGGGTAGCGAGAAAAAAGACAAGTCAGACACATGCACCTCATTAAGTTAGAAATAACTCAGATTTCTACACAACGTACTTTTTATAGTACTTAACTCTGTGCCTAAATAGTTAATTTTCAGGTCATGTAAGAAGGGTCTGTTCACCTGAATTTCTTCTTTCATTAAGTAAGAGAGGCCCACTTCCTCTTCTCCCTCTCCCAGTTCTGAGCCCGGTTCGTCTTCATCATCATCATCCTCTTCCTCTTCCTCCTCTTCCTCAAATCCTTCAGGTGGACCAGCTTCATCTTCCTCTTCATCTTCATCGTCTTCATCTCCATCTTTAAAAATATTTTAAAAGATGAGCAAATGGCTGGGCTAGTGTTTCTTTATGATATGTTGATCCTTTCAACCGTTGCCCGCAATCACTTCAATCTCTTAAGCCAATGGGTGGGAAGTATCTCAGGGTGATTTTATTTTTAAGCATGTCCCTTTTATGACATCCATATTTTCTATTTGAGAAATATGGTTTCTAAATTGTGAAATTTTTCCAAAGTATAGATCTTATTCAAAACAAAGTTTTTTACTTTGTGAACACTTTAAAACCTGCTTGTTAATCATTCCATCACTTTATAACATTGTCTATCCATCAAATTCTTTTCCAATAATAGTAACAAAGTATCTCATTACTAATAACAGCTACTTTGTCATCTGATCTATTAATTACCCATTCACTCAAAAATGTATATTCACCATCTAATTCTAGAACATTTCCATCACCCTCCAAAGAAACCCAAATCTATCAGCAGTCCCTCACCATTCTCCCTCCCCCAGCCCTGGCAACCACTAATCTACTTTCTGTCTCTGTGAATCTGCCTACTCTGGACATTTCATGTAAATAGAGTCACACGCCTTTTGTGTCTTTTAACTCAGTAGAATGTTTTCAAGGTTCACTCATATTATATCATGTGTCAGAACTTCATTCATTTTTATGGCCGAATTATATTCCATTGTATGGATATGTCACATTTTGTTTATCCATTTATCAACTGATGGACACTTAAGTTGTTTCTACTTTGTGGCTATTATAGATAATACTGTGATGAATTTTTTTTTAAGTACTATTTTAAAAGTTGCAAAGTAAACTTAAAAAATAAAGAAATGTTGCCACTTAAACAGGTGGTGAATATACAAGTTTATACAGATATAAAATTTCATGAAGCTTGATATAATAATCATTAAATTCTCCCAAAGATATCAAAAATCTGAAAGAAGAAATACAGGACTAGAACTGTAAGTTTTTAAATTTTTCTTGTCTTACTAACATCTTTTTTTTTCTATGCCTAAATATCCATGCCCACTCTAATTTGCGTGGCCAGAGCAGAGGTTATAATTGTGACACGTTTACGAGTATTAAGAATGATTACCCTCATCATCCTCCTCTTCCGAGTCTGGTGCTTCGTTATCATCCTGATCAAATCCATCTAAGTATGTGATTTGCTGCAGCAGTTCAAAAATACTCTCTCTATAATCTTCCAGGTTTGTGATCTCACAGTTAAACAAGTCAAGACTTTTCAAATTTTTAAGATTTTGCTGGAAAAGTAAAAAGTTAAAACTTACGTTCGAGCTTTAAAATATCAAGTTATTTCTTTTTAATTCATGAACCAGAATATACATACTTGAATGATTTTTGGATTTTTAGAATTTTATGATGGAGGGTTATTATATCAAGCACAGTCGTTCCCTTAACAAGGCCCTGGCATGGAAACTCCAGGAGTAGGAACTGTGTTTTATTCACAACTATGTCTCCAGCACTTGGCTAGTGCTCTACTTATGGCAGGCATGCAATAGATTTTGTTGACTGAATTTGTGCATAAATAGGCAACAAAAACAACATATTTAGTTTAAATCCACAGTCAAGCTTACTTTCAACAATTTCAACCTCTTCCCAAGCTTTTTAAAAATCAGAGCAACAATTTTCAGAGTTTCACTTCATCTCCTTTTCCTGATACTAGGTAACAAAGGAGCAAATAATGAAATCACTCAGAAAAAAAACTAGTCAAGAAGGGAAACAGAATTTAAGAAAATACTAGAACTTTTCAAACCAGATATTCCACTCCTGATGTTGATGATACAAAAAATTTCTCATCAGTTTAAAATTTTATCTGAATGTCGTACTCCAAAGGAAAAGAAAGCAATAACCATCTAGATGACAACATATAAGAAATTCAGAAGTTTCAAAAGACTGAAATAGAAATTAATAGGATAAAATAAGGAAATCTCAGAAAATTCAACCAAAAAAAGCAAGTCCAGAGACAAACCTTTCCACTTACCAGAGCTTCTACTGTACTGAGATCTTTGATTTTGTTTCCACTCAGATTGAGGTAGGTGAGATTTGGACATTTCTCTGCCAGGACTTCCAAGCCTCCAGAAATTATATTGTCACTGAGTTCCAACTATATATTCAACATGAGGATAAAACCAAGAATGGGAAAGATTTAGATCAAAGATTTTAAAAATAAATCAAAAGGCAAAATGACTGTCATTCTCTCTGGCTTCAAGAGACTATCACAAGTCATTAATTTCCAAATTCCACCAACTGCCAAATAATGTATTAAAACCCCTATACAGATGCTCCTCGATTTATAACACAGTTACCTCCCGAAAAACTCATCATAAGTTGAAAATATTATAGGTTGAAAATGCAATTAACACACCTAAGGTACTGAACATTGCAGCTCAGCCTGACCCACCTCACACGTGCTCAGAACATTTACATTAGCCTCCAGTTGGGCAAAAGTGCCTCACACAGCGAATACACTGTAGAGTATCAGATATTTTCCCTTGGGATTACATCACTGACTAGCCCAGACATAGATCAAAATTCAAAATTCGAAGTACGGTTTCTATTAAATGTATATGGCTCTCCACCACCATAAAGTGGAAAAATCGTGAGGCCAACCATCATAAGTCAGGGATTATCCGTATAATGGGCTCTTAACCCAGGTTTGGTTCCAGTTGGATAATAGATGGATTTTACATTTTAGAGAAAAGCATTCGGTAGCTGTTAAATCTAAATTCAAGCCATAAAGCAATTTCATTATTAAATTTAAATTTCTAAAAGCAATATTAGAGCTGATTCCAAAATCCTACATAAGCCTTTAACTTACCTCTAAAACTTAGAACCTTCTAATTAAAAGGCAGAATGGTCATTCCATTTGGCCAAAAACTAGCAATAACAGCCCTTTGATATCAAAACCATGATGCTTTCCCACCTACTGTCAACTTACCTTTCGAAGTTTATTTAAGCTGGGCAGTCGGGCCAGTGAACTTAGTTCCACATTAGCCATACTCAGAAACTCTAGTTTTTTAAAAGTATCGTTCAGGCCCTCGATTTCCCCATTGACACATAGGCAATTATCAAGGACTAACTCTGTCACCTGTGAGAGAGAACATACATGATTCTTTAGTTCTCAGTCTGTTTAGCAAAAGACCTGGGTCCTGACATTGAAAATGTGAACATTAAAACCCCCAATCCCCTGACACAGACCCTTTTCATTCTGCCCCCAAAATGAAATATGGTCTGAAATCATCATTATAAGTTAATCTTTTAAATTTAAATTGGACTAAGAAGTTTAATGCCTGCTTCAAATCACTCATCTATAAAAAATAAAACTTTGAAAAGGGTCCCACGTGAAACTTGTTTCTGACCCTGATGAAGACGACTCTCAACATCAGAGCGAATATCTATGGAGTGAGGGGACACGTAGGCTATTGGGAATGCAAGTGCGCTGCCCTAAAACAGTAGGGACAGGAAACTGTTTTATTCTGGGGTTTTCTTGTTTTTGTTTTTTTCAGTTTAATCTCCTTTATCTTTGGTTGATAAATGCCACCATAACTCGAAAATACCTTGTTACCTTTCATGAAGAAATAGTAGAAAGCTCCTTCTGAGGCGACCCAGCTTTTGGATGTCATTTGTTCTAATATCGAGGCCAAACAATATCACCCAGAACAATAAATCCTTGACAAACATTATTTCTCTCTGCCATCCCAGCAGCATTTTTGTGGACTTTTCCCCATTCTTGGGACGGGGCTGGATCTTCTTTTAGGTCAGAGTTGTAAAACAGAACTTTCTGGTGTGGGCCTAAATGGACTTAAGGGGCAGGCAGGAGCCCCTGGCTCTCCATTCCCAATGCGAAAATATGTCTGAAGCATTTTGAGGGCTAAAAAGTAACAAAGAATGCCATCTTCTCTGTGTAAATGACTTTGACATAATTATTTCCATGAGCAGAGAAGGCACCATGATCTGTTTAGAGAGAAGGAAACCAAGGCCCCCGAGGGTGAGAATGACTTGCCTACTGTCACAGTTTGTGTGTGGCTGAGCTGTCCCTTCACTCTTAAGTCTTTGGACTCCTAGTCTAGTGAGTAGAGGAGAGTGCCCCTAGATTTGGTGTCAGAAAACCAGTTCTTTCACTTGAGTAAATAACTGCAGGCCCTGAGACTCCGCTAATTTGGATTCTAGAATACAACCCACCTTACAAGTCTGTCCGAAGAAGGAAAGTAAATAACAAACACGGAAAGTGCTTTGTAAACTGTAAAGAGCTATGCAAATACAAGAGACCGTTATTACACCACAGGGGAGGAAGGAGAGGATGCAAAATGGCAGGCCCTCCCCAAAGCAGGCAAGGAAATTACTGCGATAGGGTAGATAACAGACGCGCGGCGGGGGTGGGGGTGGGGGGTCCGCTTTTCCAACCGAAGACATGAAAAAGCACTCTAAATGTGGGCTCCTGACAGACAGCTTGTTCAGTTTGATTTTTTTTCTGAAACTCATGAAGAGTAGGCCCCAGAAAACTTGAAGTTCTCTCTGGGATGACAGCGACTGTTACCACCTCCAGGCCCCTGCCAATTTCAGGGAAACGATCTTCTCTTTTTTTTTTTTTTTTTTTAAGTACATAAAGATCTCGGGTTCCCACTCCGCACGCCGCCGGAGCCCGCGGGGCAGACCCCACTCGTCCCCGATGCTGGTGTGCACAGGCGCCGCCTCCGCCCCGAGTTAAAAATGATACCCCTGAGATCCCGAGTCCTGGGTCTAACTCAGGCTGCAATTAGCAAGGCGCGGGACGCTGCCCCCCGCGATCGCAGGCGTGAGGTTCCTCGCTGGTCACCGGCCCCAGCTCTGCAGACCTGCCGCTCCGACCGACGGGAAACCCCACACGGGGCGGGGACTCCCCAAAGGAAAACGGGGTCGCCTCCCAGCCCGCCTTCGCCCGGAGCCTCCGCCCCGGGGGGAAGGGCTGGGTGAAGCCGAGGAGGCGACCTCGGAAAGGAGGCGGAAACACCTCCCGCCCGACCCCCGAAAAGTTGACCGCGACCCCGCCTCACGTGGCCCCTCCCAACCCCGTCTCTTTAACTAAGGCGACAGCGGCGAGCGCGCATCATTTAGTCTCGCCGAGCCCATCTTGAAAGCACAAACTACTACGACCCATTTGTTGAGTTGTGTGAAGCCGTCTCCAGGGATCAGATTCGGAGTTGCGGCCACCACGACGCGCCGAATCTCGTTACACGGCGTGGGGCGGGGGGGAGACGAAGGGGATTACGCCTCGAGTCCCCTCCCCAGCTCGATGACGGCGACGGGTCCCAAAACCCAGAGGCGGCCGGACAGCCGGCCGCTGACCCAGATTCC